GATACCCGCCCGCCCTTACCTGCTCCTCTGTCTTGAGGTCCCCAAAGTCCTTTAGGAACTCTGCCTCGGAGGGGAACTGCGAGGGCTCCAGGAAGTGCAGCAGGCTGAACAGCTCCTCTACCGTGTTCTGCAGCGGGGTGCCTGTCAGCAGCACCTTGTGCTCCTGGCATAGGATAGGGCATCAGGGGGCAGCCCCATGGTACCCCTACCCCCAAAGAGCCCCACGGAGCCTCCTAACCCCGCACGGCCCCCAGAGGCAGGGCCCATGCCTCACAGAGCCCCAAAACCCCCACTCAGGGCCCAGCTCAGGGCAGGAAGCGCCCACAGAGGGAAGCCCCCCAACAGCTCCAGCCGAGCTCCACCACAACCACCCTTCCCCTCCCCCAGGGTTCCCCCCCGCCCCACCTCCCGGACACCTCTGGGGCCCCAGTTGTCCCACCAGGTCCATGTGCTTGAGGCTGTCCAGCAGCTTGCAGTTGCGGTTCTTGAGCCGGTGGGCCTCGTCGATGATGACACAGCGCCACTCGATCTCCCGCAGCTCGGGGCAGTCCGACAGGATCATCTCGAAAGTGGTGATCAGCGCGTCGAACTTGTAGGCACCAGGGATCAGCCGGCCCTGGAGGGGGGCAAGGGCAATCAGATGATGGGGGTGGGATGGGTGGGCCACATCCCAGAACAGCCTCCCCACAACATGCCAGGGCAGGAAACCCACCTCCTGGGGCAGTGAGACCCTCTCCCCACACCCTTCCTACCTCTCCCTCCCCCGTACCCCAGAGACCTGCGCCCTTCCCAGAGCCTGCCCTGCTGGGACCCCTGCTCCTCACCCAGGAGTCCTTGCATTCCTGCAGCACACGTGCATGGGTGTCCACGCCACCGAGGGTCTGCCCCTCCCGCCCATACCCGGAGTCCCTGCAGTACACGCGCGTGTGTCCGTGTCCACGCCCCCGTGCGTCTGCCCCTCCCCCCCCCCGTACCCGGGAGTCTTTGCAGTACATCTCGTACTGCTGGATCATCTGGCGGGAGGCCAGGCTGCCATGGTAGACGATGCTGTTCATCTCGGTCCACGTGTTGAACTCGCGCTCCCAGTTGGTGATGGTGGAGAGGGGAGCAATGACCAGGAACGGGCCCCGGATGCCCACGTTATAAACCTCCTGCAGGAAGGCAATCGACTGGATGGTCTTCCCCAGCCCCATCTCGTCTGCCAGGATGCAGTTCTGCCTGTGGCGGGAGAAAAGGGGGTCAGCATCCCCCCCAACTACCTCCTCCCCCCCGCCCCAGCCCC